AAACGTCAGGCGAATAAACGTATTGTCACAGCGATCGAGTCGTCTTCTTTTCACTTTACGACTTCTCACCACCGACAAGCAAGACGGGCAGCCGTCAGCTGTCCCAGAGAGAAAACAGTGGAGAAGATTTGCTCCTTTTTTGCTGATACTGAGACGAGGTCAGGGGGATTAGACTTTGATTTAATCGCAGTGATCTACAAGGTTAAAAAATACAAGGGATTATCCCTTCACAACTTTTTACCATAGGCGTCTTTTCCTCGTTTTTTGCTGCCACAGCGTTTTAACTTTCTTACGTTATTGATTAGCTTCTTGGCCATTTTCTATGACCTCGATGTTTGCATCGATCTTTCTGTATGAATTCAATTTGCATCTTCTCTTATGTTATTGGCCTTATGCAACGTAAGGAAGCAACTGATGAGCACTGTCGAAATTAATGGATCGAATAAATTTTGCTGTTTTTGCCTTCTTTAAATTTGTACCTGGGAAACGTTGCTTTAAAGGTACTAAGAACCGCGGAGGCAAATGCTAAGGGTAAGTCTTTGGACCGGCAGTATGCAAATACAATTGCAAAGCAGGATGAAAGAATAGGCCGGTAAGCAATGCTGATCATTCGTAAAGCGCAGGGATCTCTGCGCTCCTGAACAACTTGGTATGGGGTGGCGAAGAAGGTGAAATAGATCAAATGTCTTTCCCTTTAAATATCAAAGAAGTGGCTTCTTCACATCACCTTAAATGCTTGTAGTCTTTTGAGCTTCTTTTCAAGTCGTAGCCTTAGAAAGTAGTCGTTTCAGACGACCCATTAATCAAGAGGTTGCTTGCGCGAGAAAATCCTACAGTCGGTGAACAGTGTCCAAAACTGACTTTTGCCGAATGCCATTTTCACGACTCTTCAAGGGGTCTTGCCAACGGGGGATAATGGCGTTTGGGACTCGAAATTAAAATTAACTTTAGGTCACTATCACTTGGATAGTAATAGTCCTACGTAGAGTCCACGGTCAAAAAACGGTTCGATAGAAGATGTTGGACTTGCAAATTTTAAGATGGATGCCCAACCAGGGGATATTCAGCCCATTCAACAAAAATGAAGGATATGGCGGATAACAGGAATCTTTTCACAAATGGGAACTGAATAGGACGATGGAAATACCTACCAGATAGGGTGTTCGTAGAACCGCCAGCTTTACCGGCGTTTAGGCTGATCGAATCCAATTCGAGCAACACATAGAGCGGAAGCGGTGGAATGGACTGAATGTCCAAGTTAGAGGTGTACGAGCGACTGGGTTCCGGTTCGTCTTCAGTGTTCGTCGAGGGTCCAGCAGTGTTGCCGGGAGCAAAGGGATCATGGCTCGACTACAGAAAATTACTGGAAAGTTAAAATGCTGGCTACTGAAATTGTAAAAGTAGCATTTTTATGGGTGCACTAACCGTGCTGTGGAAGCGTGGACGCTGTGGGGCGGGGGTACGCCTACCGGCACTTCCAGCAGAATAGGCCAAATCGAAGGCTGAGAGACAGCAGGTCAGGTGTACAAGAAGGGCCTGCACGCGTCGCAATCTCCCAATATTCATCCATTCCAGCAGCTGGCGTGGATGAAACTGCGGCAGCAGAGGATTCACTAACTGTAATGCAAAAAGCAAGTTCCCGGTGAACGCGGAAGTAAAGACCACAGGCAAGGGCAACAAAAAAGTTAAATTCAAATAAGAAAACACTCACCTGCACAGCTTCAAAAAGGCCCAGATCGCTCAACAGAGTCATGTCTAGGGCGTTTTTGGGGTAGGCGGTGGAGGCAGGATGCGGGGGCTTCTTTGCGGAGTCAATATGTGCAGATCGTGATGGCTCTGCGACTCGACTTGCGGCGGCGCCGGCCTCGTCTTTTCCCCCATCGAGAGCAATCAATCGAAAATCTGAATAGTTTCTCTTCAGTCGTGCGGCACCCATACTGGAGGCATTAAAATCCACCGCTTTGAGCAGATCTACAAGTGGGAGGTGCGGGGATATACCGAGAGGACCACAAATAGGTTGGGTGAAACGAGCATACAAACAGCAACAAAAACAACGGAGATAGGTTTACCTCCCATCACCCCGGCTGGAAGTGCGTTAGCAATGCTCAGCTTTTCCACCAGTGCTCTCCTTTCAGCAACCACTTCAGCAGGCCATTGGCTGAAGACGTGCAGCTCGGTGATGCGATTAGAGAGAAAGAGTCCGTTGGAAAGCCACAGTGCCAGCTGAGTATTGGGGGTGATTGCAAGGTCCGTCATCGCCTCATTATTCTCATCGAATAGGCTTAGGCAAACATAGCGCAGGCAAACCCAGCGTAGGCCAACCTACAAAACAGCATGGCATGTAGAAGAATTGGGAGATTTTAATGGAAGTGTTTGGGCAAAATAGCTTGTAGGGGAAGGCAGCCCCATTGGGTTAACCTAAATGCTTATATGAATGAAGCTAAACAGTCTGCATTCGCGAATGGCGATGTCCGACACGCCCTCTCCCTCCCTCCACCACCAAGTGAACGCATTTTGGGAGGGGGGAGCATCTACCGCAACCTTTTACTAAACGTCTTCTACATGCAAAAAACAACTGTGCCAGAAAAGGCTGGGAGAGTGAAATAAAGTGTGCAGTATTTTAGATGAAACGGCTACAGTTTTCTGTTTATGTCTGTGATGATGAATCCGCGACGGTTGTCGAAACGTCAGGCGAATAAAAGTATTGTCCCAGCGATCGAGTCGTCTTCTTCTCAGTATTTTAATTGCCGACAATAGCCCTTTTTGTTGCAGTTTCTTATCTCTGAAGATGGACTCTTGTGAGAGTTTGAAAGCTCAGGACAATTTTTCTTCAGTAACAGAATGGTTGCAGCATGGAACGCTCTTCCGAAAAGGTTGTCCTCTCCAACTGTGTTAAAACATTAAAGAGCAAACTGGACATGCAAAAAACACCTTATTCGCCAGGCATCCGCAGCAAACAGGCCTTAACGTGCTACTCGTTCTAAGCGAGTAGTAATTTATTATTACTATTTCAACAAACGAACAACTACTCTGTTTTCGCCCGCCAGCATGCAACTGACGTTCGTTTTTTCAATTTTTCTTTTGAAAGGATTTATTTCCTAGCAATTTGTTACGGATAGGGAGCTCAAGGACATTCGCCTATCTTTCCCTCAACAAACTGATAGTGAATAAACCTGATTGGTCCGGTGTAAACGCCTAGAACGTTCTCATGCATTCAGGAACCTACCTCGCCAAGGCTGGTCAACAGTGTGCTGGGGTTCTTCGCGGTGGGATATCGGGTGGCCAGGAAGACATCATGACACATCGGTACGTAGATCCAGAGCTGGTGCAGACTCACAATGGAGAGCAAGTAGCCACCATCTTCGGTATTGACCCAGTCTAGTTGAATGCACTGAAAAGCAACAAGCCACACAGCGTAGAGAGTAATTTGCAGAGGAGAAAACACCGACTGACAAAAAATAGACGTAGATGGGAGCAGCAGGCGAACCTTTTTGCACATTGGCATCTTCCCACCAGCGTATCTCGGAATCACCACGTCTTCCAGCATCCATTCACATCCACCTGAAAACAAAAAAACCCATGAGGTGAAATTGAAGGCCGGATGGAGGAAATGGGTGGCCAGAATCGCAGGACAATTGCATGCGGGACTGTGTAGATTAGAGAACTCATGACAGCGGTCTGAAATGTGTGCCCAGACAGGTGCTATGTACGACCGTTTAAGGTCTCGATAACCCGGGTGCGTGGGGGGTACAACGGGCCAAAGGCGGAAGGCAAACAGGCCGGTCGCTCGCTGTCTGAATTCAGTGCATCATGGCGGAGGTGAGGTGAGAATGAGAATTTTGTGAAATTCTTTCTCACCGTGTACGGGCACTGCGTACCACGTCACTTGTGGTTGATTGGCCCCTACGCCCCGCATAACTATTGCTTGTTTTCCTTATTGACGCATTTATCTCTGACGATGGACTCCAGTAAGAGTTCGAATGCTCGGATGAAAAAACTTATGATTTCGGTAGTCGACTTACTTTCTGCTTCTCTAGCTATACACACACCTTGGATGCAAACATTAGCCACAATAGCACATTGTTTTTTGAGATCTATTCACGCATATATATTTTCCATTGTCAGGTAAATATTACTTGTAGCACCTGATAAGCAGGAAACGAGAAGCTCCTGTGACATAGGTGGCTTTGTGCAAAATTCCGGGGCAGATAGGGTTAGTTTCAGTTGAAATGGGGTTATGATCAAGGCTATGGTCGCGTTTTATTTTATAGGGTAGGTTGCCCCTGAACGGGCCGCATGATAGGTGCGCTGAACCAACACGTACTGGAAGAGATCATAGCACGGCAGGTGTTATTCGCATTCCAATTCCATAGCGCATGCCGAACCTGGGTGTAGGGAGGCATTGGTTCCACGCGTAGGTGCGGCAATGGTAGTTTAAGCAGTGCACCTCATATACCCCTAGTTCCAGCATTTTGTCCTACAGAAACGGTGGTTATAGGGGTCTAGACCCTGTGCATCACTGCGGGGTATGGTGAAAATGAGAATTTGGGGAAGGTCTTAATCATCGTGTATGCGCACTGGTATGTGTGTCTGTAGCCCTCCCCCAAATACCCACACTATCTTCCTGTAAGGTGCTTTTTAAGGCCTCAACCACACAAACATGCAAATGAGTAGGTAGAGAAGGTACGTCGATCATAGGTCTATACGGCTGAGTTTTCGAACTCTTACTAGAGCCTATCATCAGAGATAGGGGCGATAGGATGAGTGGGGCATGTCAGGGAACAGATAAGTTCACAATAATCCTGTAAAATAAAAAAAGTTACGGGGTCAAGTCGAGGGATGTACGCTGACCTCGGGCGAGGACACTGAAGTATGTTTTACTATCATTGCAAACCTCTACTGGACCAATGGCGAGCGCGTGTAGGTCGGGGGGTGTCCGCTGACCTCGGGCGAGGTCATTGAGGTATGTATGTGCGCAGCCCCCCCAACTACCCGCTCTATCTTTTTATAAAGTGCCTTTAAGGCATAAACCAATTAACCATGGCAAATGAGTAGGAAGAGCAGAAGGCAGGTCGATCATAGTTCTATTCGGCTGAGTTTTCGAACTCTTACTAGAGCATTTCGTCAGAGATAAACATGTCAATGAAAAAACCAAGCAACAGTTATACGGGGCTGGGGCCAATCAACCACCAGTGATGTCAGTTCGGAAATGCCTGCGCAGGGTTAGGCTACAATGTTCGCCTCTCAGCGCAGGTACAACATTCTCAAAAGTTAAGTGAGATCCGAAGAAGGATCTGCGCGATTACTGGAACAAGACTCTCGTTTCGGATTCACATATAAATACGTAGATTATAGACAATCGTATATTAGGGGTGATGGACACGTACATACTGTGTACGCCAAGTCACTCCTTCCCCTCCTACCGACAGTCCCCCTTATTTGAAGGGATAATGTCTTGTGTTTTTTAACCTTGTAGATCACTGCGATTAAATCAAAGTCTAATCCACCTGACCTCGTCTCATTATCAGCAAAAAGCGAAGCAAATCCTCCCCGCTGTTTTCTCTACGGGACAGCTGACGGCTGCTCGTTTTGCTTGCCGGTAGTGAGAGGTCGTAAAGTCACACGAAAACTCACCGCTGGATTCGCACTCAAAGATGGCCACCTGCACGGGTTCGTCATCTGAGCCCTCATTTGGCCGAGAATAGGAGCCGCAGGCAACGGCCACCCGACCATTGCAAACACAGGCCACGGCCAGGATCGACGCCAAGGCCTGGTTGCACCAAGTGTGCGAAGGTGAGGAGCCAATCAGGTTCCGCGAACGTTCTTCCAGTGCATCCACGGTGGCTCTTCGAGTCAGATTGTCTAGCAGCAGGCCGGAAGGAACGGAAATTCGGCTGGCACTGAGTTCTGGCAGATCCATTTCCCATTCGGACCAACAAAGCTCTTTAGAACTGTCTAGTAAGTAGAAAAGCATGAGGATTACAGTTCAGGAAATACGCGTAAACACGTGGCGCAAAAAAACGACAATCGGCTAGTTTAACGTGGAGCACGAGTAAGGCAGTCTCTACCAGACAAAGTAAACGACGAGTACATATAGTAGATTCCCTACTTCACGAAACGTACCCCGGTATTGTGAAATGCATTTTCGATTCAAACATATTAATTACGCATAGTTTTAAAAAAGACGATCGTACAGCCTAATCTCAATACATTTTGGTCACATCTGGCTGTCGGCTTTTTAACGAACTTCTCTCTGACCGCTAAGTCAAAGTATACACTGTAAAAAAAGTAGCTACTTAAGTAGTATGCCTTTGTAATTGATTTTGACTGCCTTTATGGATTCAACTATATTTTTGGAAAACATGCACGAAAAATTATTTCTTGTACTCGTTTGGTAGTAAATTACGCCTTCTTTAAATTTCACACTTAAAGAAAGGGTATCTTCTGGTTTTAAAAAAAGTTTCTAAATTGCCGAATAATTTTGATACATAGTGACTGGAACTCAAGGTTTACAAACTGCGCACTGCGTACATCCTGTTTAAGGAAAAGTACGTTTTCGCCTACAGTTTAAGGAAGATCTCACATAATTCTCATTACATGTGGCAAA